GCCTGCCAGGTTTCAAGGAGATAGGTGCAGGGGTTTTTGTGAAACTGCACCTCAAACTGTTCAAAGCAAAATTAGTATCACTTGCTCGCAGCCTGCTGTCATTCTGCATGCAGATCCAGGGGCCTATGCCCCCCGGGAGGAGTCTGGCACAGCTCTGCAGCCCTCCCAGGGGGCATGGGATCCTGGATTTGCATGCTGGATGACAGCAGGCTGCCACTGCTGGCTGGGGCCAGTGTCAGCACTGGGTTCTTCCCAGCACTCGGTGCGGGCTGCACCAGGCAGACTTGGGTGCTGCTGCTGGCCCCAGCCAGCAGCAGCAACTTGCTGTCATCCACATGCTCCGCAGCTGGTGAGTGTGGAGCTTTAAAAAACAAAAAAAGCCCCGCACTTACCGGCTCTTGCAGCGGTGATTGGGGCCTCTGGGGTCTCATGGCAGAGCCCCCCTGAGCAACGTAGGGCAGCGGAGATCACCCTCCCTGCCCAGCACTTATGTGGCAGCTGCACCATCATGTGAGTGCAGCATGGCTCGCTAGGGCACCACACATTGTCTGGTAGCTGGGGCGGGTCCACCTGTCAGCCAGAGCTCCCAGTTTGATTCCCCAGCCCCGGGTTCAATCTCTCAGCTCTCTGATCATTCCCACAGCTCTATCTGGGGAGCGTGGGCCCCTGAATCTGTGCACCAGGTTTCAGTAGGCTGCTGCTGCAGGCTGGGGCCAGCAGCAGCACCACAGTCTTCCCAGTGCTCAGCACAGGCTGTGCCAAGCAGCTACTGCTGGTCCCAGCCTGCAGTGGCAGCCTGCTGAAACCCTGCATGTAGAACGGGGCCCCCCCCCCCCCCCCCCCCAAGAAGAGCTGGAAAAATGATCAGAGAGCTGGGGAACTAAACCAGGAAGTAGATGTCAATATCAGAGCAGTCCTTCCTCCCTCTCCTTATTTTCTGTTTAGCTGCAGTCAAGCCTGCCTTTGAAACTTGAAACATTTTGAATTTTTCAAAATATTTCAAATGTCCTCCTTTTGCTTTGAAGCCTTTTGTTTCATTTTGATTTTGCTGTTTCGAGCTCGAAACAGCTTCAAAACGAAACACCTGTCGAAATTTTGCACAGTCCTCATATTTAGCTGTAGAAGTGATAGTATCTCACCAATACAGGCAAAAGAGGTGGTTTCAGTCTTGTCAGCTTCTCCAGGTGTGGATCTGTTCACTAGAACATCAGCTGGGCACAGCAGCTATTCTTGTCAGATTGATTTCTCATTCTTGAAGTGTGCCCTGTTAGCTGTTTTATTCCTCTTTTATACCCTTTAGCTCAGGATCTTCAAAATTCTTGTAGTTGTGTAAATCAAGAGAGAATCCCAAGCAGTAATTAATAGGAAAATCCCATTAATCAAACTATTCATTATTGGTTATCAGAAAGTCCCAATGTTGATTGAATTACCTTCCTCAATAACAAGAGGATATCAAATTATACTAAGTTGGAACATATCAAGAAATTGATTAGCAACCAGGAAAAACACAAGGTTTTTGTGGAATCATCCTTGGAAGATAAAGGAAATCACTGAGGCATAACAAGAATAAATGAGGAGGAAACACCTATCAAAGAATAGGAGAATATCTCTTCCTACACATAAATATGAGTTAACTGCAAAGAAACATTTACAGTAAACTCTCTGGTAACCGACACCTTACAAGCCAGCATGCTCCACTAACTGGCATGCCGGTTTGTAAGGAAAAGTGAAACCAGAGTGTCCACTGTGGCACTTCCGGTTTCTCCAAGCCCCCACAGCCCAGGGCAAAGCAGCCTGTGCTGCTGAGCCCCCATGGCCTGGGGGCATAGCAGGCCGCGCAGCGCTGTGCAGGGCCCACCTCCCTGTCCCATGGGGCCTGCGGGAAGGGTGGCGGTGTCATGGGAGGGGCAGCGATGCCGCAGGAGGGGTGGAGGGATGCCTCAGACATGGCGGAAGCAGCAGCAGCTAGGGCCACTCAGTTAACCGGCACATTTTGTTATCCGGCATCCCCCATTCAGACACTTGATTTATGGCACATTATACCTGCCTGCCATCTGATAACCCCAGGTAACCTGTCTGCATTTTACCAGCTACATTTTATCACCTTCTCCCCTTTTCCCCATCCCCAACTACCTTTTCACACCTTACCGCCAGGCATTTGCATTTTGACAGACCTGCATTTTGGCTTTTATCCTACCCAGGAAAGCACACAAACACCAGTAGACTTTCCCTATGCCTGAAGATGAGTGTTTGTGCCCGAAAGCTAGCAAAGAACAATTTTTCCAACTACTTAGTTGGTCTAATAACAGATACCACATTTACCCAAAGAACCTTGTCTGCCTACTGCTATTGTAGAACTAAGGAGTGAAAGAACGAAATAGTCTTCACTTCTCTCAACAAACAAATTTGAAAAATTTGCATGATATAAAACTGCAGTATTGGTGGTTACTCTAAGATGAAAGAGATATCCTATACAAACTTTGCACTTTTAAATGGACACTGGAAAGAGGGACATTTTCAGGGGCGTGGTTGAACAGCTAAAATGTTCTCTTTCTGGTCCCAGATTTCTACTGATGGAGCTTTCAGGCTGGGAATGATGTTAGGAAACATGCGCCTAATCTGCTGGGAGAGGGCAAGCTTCCAAATGTTGAAGAACAAACCTGCAGGCCAAAATGGTGTTGACAGATTTACAACAACTGAGGTCGCAGTAGGTGGGTTCAAAGGCAAGAATGGGAGTATGCTGTATGCTCCAACAGGAATAGATTTTTCTTTAATGTTACATTGAGATGTGATGAACAAATAGACTCTCTTTTTGTGCTGTGCCAGGGAAGGATTTCACCTGGCAGAACAGTTTGTCGTCAATGTATGAATTAAGTATTACAAACAGGAAACACATAATATTCTACAGATAATGTTAGCAACACACTATGACACTATCTACAATAGTTTCATAGTTTCTAGGGTCGGAAGGGACCTGAGAAGATCATCTAGTCCGACCCCCTGCCATGGCAGGAAAGAGTACTGGGGTTAAATGACCCCAGCAAGGTGTTCATCTAACCTCTTCTTAAAAACCCCCAGGGTAGGAGCCTGCACCACCTCCCTTGGAAGTTGGTTCCAGACCCTAGCCGCCCTGACCGTGAAGTAGCGCCTTCTGATGTCTAACCTAAACCTACCCTCTGCTAGGTTGTGACCATTGTTCCTGGTCACTCCTTGCGGCGCTCGGGGGAACAGTGACTCCCCCAATGCCTGCTGATCCCCCCTGACCAGTTTGTAACAGGCCACAAGATCCCCCCTCAGCCTTCTCTTTTTGGAGGCTGAACAGGTTCAGGTCCCATAGTCTCTCCTCACAGGGCCTGCCCTGCAGTCCCTTGATCATGCAAGTGGCCCTCCTCTGGACCCTCTCTATGCTGTCCACATCCCTCTTGAAGTGTGGCGCCCAGAACTGGATGCAGTACTCCAACTGTGGCCTGATCAGTGCCGCATAAAGGGGGAGGATCTCCTCTCTGGACCTGCTCGAGATGCATCTGTGGATGCATGACAAGGTATGGTTGGTCTTCCTAACTGCCAATCTAGATAGAGCTTGATGCTAATCTTGTAAATTACATGGCAGATTCATTAAAATATTTGGAATGTGGAAATGTACAAATTACTGAAATGCTGTGTAGAGTGAGGACCTTAGTCCATGGGACAGCCTTTAACAGGGATCAATGACCTTATGTGCTTTGCTGTGTAAACCTTCATATTCCCAATGGCATTACTTTGAATATCACAGGCTGCTATAGAAGAACTAGGTAATAACCAATTACTAGTTTTGTTGTACTGAAGTGTTCTCCTACAGTAATGGGAGCCTTTGATAAGCAATGAAACAGTGCTGTAGGACAGTGAAAGTCTGTTTGCTGTTTAATTAAATTAAAAAGTCAAAAAGCTTTGTTTTCAGCCTTCCATTTTATGGCTGGTTGTTCCCCATCTAATTTTGGGACAAGTACAAGAGGTGAAACTGAAGAAAGTGTTCAGGATAAAGCTTTTTGTCATCCAGAAATTTTCAGTTTGGGAATTCTGTAATCTCTGGGTGATCTAATATAGCTCAGTTCTTTCACTCTTCATCCTTTTGGAAATTTTTTCCAAATATTTTGTTTCTTGGAGCAATCACAAAATGACAGTTCTCCTCAGATCAACTTCTTGTTTCCCACAGTCCATCTGAATCTTGTATAGGCCTGAAGTTTTCTTCAGTCAGTGAAAAGTGCTAGAAACAGATAACATTTCTCATTTTTACTAATTAGAGAATATACAAGACGTGGCAAGTTAGACTTACATTTCCAACTATGATGACATGATAACATTTCCAAACTTAGGTGATTAAAGCTGTTCTTAAACCGAGATGCATGTACTTAAGCATGGCCTAATTCTACAGAAGTTGATGAGAATGGCAGGTAGTCTGCAACCTTGAAAACTGAACCACTTTTAAATTAGTGCTGACATTTATGAACCTATCTTTAGGTTGATCATGCCTGTTAGAACAGTTCACATATGTTCCAGTCAAATATATTTTATCAGTTCACTGCTCAAGTGGTTTGGGAACACTAGAAAATACAGGTCTAAAATATTGTGTTTAAAAAAGATCTGGTGGTAGCAAAGGTGGTGACAGGAATACATTGCTAGAAATCATTTGGTAAATTACACTCATTTAAACCAAACAACAGTGGCTGCCTCACTCCATTAGCTTAGTACAGGTTGATATTATCATATGATGGCCAAGGACCAGAGTCAGCTCTCCCCCTTTAAATTGTGATACATCTCTGGACATTAGTAATAAAAAGCCTTACAATCAGCAGTTTATAAAAACCTTGCTGATATCTAGTTCTTTAAAAAACTACTCACTGATTTCATAAGAAAACAAGAACATCATGCTATGAACTGTTATCTGGTGCTAATATCTTTATTTATATTTTTACCACAAAAACTGCTCTGCACTCACATTTGCTTCTTTTGCAGTCTTAATTATGACTGGATTGTATATTTATGATTTCTTTCCATAGGTGCATTCTGTATGCCTGTGTATATCCCTTATATCCTGACAGGAAAGTGGGAATTTGGAAAAGGTCCCTGGAAGCTTTGGCTTCTTCTGGACAATCTCATGTGCACAGCATCATCATTTAATATTGCTCTTATCAGCTATGATCGGTACTTGTCAGTTACTAAAGCTGTGAGTAGCACATTCATAGTTAACCCTTCATGCCCACTTAGTGTTATAGAAAAAAACAACATTGTTAATTACAATTATTATATGCAATGATATAGAAGCTCTCACCTATAGTTCTGAAAGCACTCTGTTTTTTCAATATTAGAGAATTAATAGGACCATTTCTTGAAGCGGATCTTGTTTAGAACAGGGAGTTCAGTTTGGGTTGGCGATTGTTCTGGTGCCAGGGATCTGTATTTGACCCAAATAAGTGATAATCAGCTTGCTTTTAGCCAAGACACAAGCATCTGCAAATCTCTCTGCACATGTTCAAGTAGAATTTGTCAGCTAAATTGTCCAGAGATTCCATCAATTGCTGCCCATATTCCACTCCAGGTATGCATGGGTTGAAAAAAAATCTTTCCTTACAATTGCTGTTCCTGTCTGCTGTGGGCCACTGAGGCAGCACAATTGAGAGCGCTGAGAAGCCTCCCCTATGTTGTTGATCCACCCTGCTAGTGCCAAAAAGGTGGAAAAATGAAGCTGGCATAGAATACAGGGATGGGTGAAAATGGGTTAGATTGGAGGTGAAGTTACATGTTACATTTAGGCCATATTAAGGGCACTGAAAATGCAAGTATCTGCATGTTAAAGCTTATTAACTTGTGCTAAGTGCCCTCTGAGTACCTTAAAGTTATGTCACTTAAGGTGAGGATTAACTCTGGACCATGCTAACTAGCTCATGTTAGGATAACTTCAGTCTGCTCCATGGAGATAAAAAATGAGCAATTTGCAGTCCTCCAGTATCCCAGGGCGCGCTGCTCCAAACCACGCCCCCACCACCCAGAGTAGGGATAGAGCCAAGGTGTTCTGGGCTGCCACTATAGGATGGGGCCTGGGCTGTGCTGGGCTCTTCCTGGCAGAGGGGGACTGTGCTACTTTGGGGGCAGGTGTCACCAGCACTGGGAGAGAGGCTACAGGTGGTGGGGGCAGCTGCAGCCACCCCAAGATTCACTGCAGCCCACCTGACCCCCCCTCCCAGTGCCACTGCTGCCTGCCCTCAGCGTAGCACAGCCCCCTCCGCTGCACCAGAAAAAGACCGGCGCTGCCTCAGCCCCAGCCCACAGTGGCAGCACACCCTGCCTTGCACAGATGGGGGGCATCCACCCCGCCATGTCTCCTGGGATGTGCAGCAGTGGGAGCCACCACCCCCTCCCCACAGCCCTGGATGAGCTGCGGATTCATACCATACTCTGCCCTGCCCCAGCTGTGTAGGGACTGGTGGGGCAGCCAGAGGGGTCACAGGAACTCCATCCCCTCTGGCCTGGCAGTGCAGCCAAGGCTGTCACTTCTCTGGCCCTCTGCTCTGGGCCCTGCTGGAGGGAATGTCAGGCTGGGGGCGGCAGGTTCATTGGCATTAGCACCTGGCATTGACCCTGGGCATGGGGGAAGGGATGGCCACATGGGTGCAGTGGGCCTGGCTCCACTCTGTTCCATCCCAATCCCTGCCTGGTCCCAGCCCCATTCCCTCCCCCTCCCCACACAGACTTTCCTGGAGAGGGGGCACATGTGTGCATGCACATGTTCAGCCCTCCCCAATTTTTTTCTCCCTCCACCTATGAAATAGCACCACCATTGTTTTTTGAGTTGAATTTAGTGCTGCCAATGTAAACTATGGGTGAAGTTACTTACTACACTTAGACCATACTAAGGGTACTTAAAACACTAGCATCCACACAATAAAGCTCATTAAACTCATGCTGTGTGCCCTCTGAGAATCTCAAAGTTACACTACCTCAGGTGAGGGTTAATTCTGGGCTGCACTACTTACCTTGTATTATGGGAACTTCAGTCTACTCCACGGAGATGAAATGAGCAATCTGCAGTCCTCCAGAACCCCAGGATGCAGCACTCCTAGCCCCCTGCCCCAAGTAGAACTAGAACACAGGTGACCTGGCTCCTAGTTATGCCCCTAGTCACCAGCCCTCTAGTGGCAAGTACAGGCAAAAAATGGTATTAATACTTAACATGTGGCAGCTCACAGCACAATCTAACTTGAACACAGCTTAACTTATTATGGTATAAGCGTAATGTAACTTCACCTGCATGGTGTCAAGCAACACGGAGCTGGCAAGCCAAGCTCACGGTGTTGGTCACAGTGGTGTGGCTGGGTGGTGGCAAATTAGATATGGACAGGTGGGAGTTTTGGCGATGGAGTCTGAGCGGCACAGGAAGTGTATTGGTTCCTTAAACAAGATGAAATTTATTTAACTTACGCTTAGTAGGAAACGATGTCTTCAGTTATAGTGAACAAACAGCTGAACAAACAAAGGGGTCTGTTGGCCCACAGGGTTCTCCAACAAGCCCTTGCTTTCTACCTCTGACGAGGTAGGTGCGGCTGCCTGTTGGATAGTCCTAGGGCTGGTCAACAGCTCATAAATTGGTAACACACAACGAACTGTAACGATGTGA